CCCTTCCACATGGTGAGAGGTGGCTGCTCTGCATCTCCCAAGTTCATGTCAAGTTTCTGCAGGCAGCCCAGACAGAAATAACACCTCTCACAGCTAATTCTGAGTTTCTAAGAGAAGATATTTGACCCACTTTGTGTCTGTTGTTCATTCTGTTCCCATCTCTGGTTAGAAGTGTGTGTGTGTGTCGTTAGGAGCACTGACTCCTGTTGGGAGGGAGAAGTGGGTGCTCTCATGAGATAGGCTGACACCCCAGAGTGTCTCCTGCTAAGAAGACATTGCCAAAGGCAGGCCTGGATACTGCCCTGCAGTGTGCGCATTTCATGAAGAGGGTGTGTTGTCTGCCCCACGCCTCATTTCAGTGCGAGAACCTCACCCTGTGTCTTTCAGGATCAGAACGCTGGAGTTATTTTTGCCTCCCTCTCATTCTTTATTCTGTGTTACCAGGTCTGTCGCTTGGAAATGGCTTTTGGATCCATTCTGTCCTCTATATCCAGTTCCTACTGCCACTGTCCCCTGTCAGTCCCTGGTCCCCTCTCTTCTGACTGCTCTGCCCTTGAAGCCGTCCTGTGTCCACCAGTTGCTCTGCAGCTCACGCTCAGTTCCCTGCTCAGCAGCTCCCTGTCCCCCCACAGGAAGCTCCACTGCACAGCCTCCTGGCTTCCGTCCTCCGGCAGAGACGATGCCTCCTTCTGAATCTCCTCCTCTTCCCCTTCCAGTCCTACTTCATCTCCTTGGTAATGTATGAACTCAGAAGAGCTCCTTGCACTTACGCCTTAAGCCCAATGCTGAATACACTGCAATTAAGAACCCAGGTCTGGCACTTTCTGCACCCCGTGAGGTATCTACCAGTTTCTAGAATGATTGACATAAAGCAGTCAGTAGTTATCATTTACTTGCTCTCTTTCAAAAGTGGTGGAAGAACATGGCATTTCGAATCCTCGGGGCAGCCCGAGGGTGGACACACATTTAGCTCTACTTTGTGGATGATGAAACTAAAGTGTGGAGATGCTGCTGACTTGGATCTCACCACCAGAAGAGGTGGGCCTGGAAGACAAAGGAATGAACGATTTTCTTGGTCATCCGTAACTGGGGGCTACTTTGTCAACCTTCCCTTATTTATGGGAAGCTGCCGTGAACCAGGATTTGGGGCACACTTGCCCATGTACCAGGCCCATGGTCCTCCCACGGACGGGTATCTCTATCTTCCCTGTTCTAACACTAAACTCCCCTCTTAGTTCATTCCAACCCAAAGCCCTCTTGAGTTCTCTTGAACCTTGCCATTCTCTTGCTCTCTTGGCCAGTACTTAGTTCTGCAGGTGTTCTACAGGCTGGTCTCCTGAACAAAGAAGACCAACAAGACTCTCTCCCAGGCAGGGACTCTGGCTCAGGCTGGCCCACAACATGCTTCTACTTCAAGCTGCTCACTCCTCCCAAGACATATTTAAAACCTGGTCATATATCCTGTATGTGCTGTATCTATTACATGTTTACACATGAATGAAATGCTCATTTAAAAAATAAAGAAACATGCTGGCTGGGTGGCCCACACCTGTGGTCCTAGCACTTGGGAGGCTGAGGTGGGAGGATCACTGGAGCCCAGGAATTAGAGACCAGCCTAAGCAACATAGGGAGGCAAACAAACAAACCAAACCAAGTACACGGTCATTAAACTGTTTAAGACAGGTGAAGTCACATGAATTCAGTAGGTAATTAGCAGGAAGCTCTAGCAAAATGCTTTAAGAATATATAATGAACACACATTTGAAACATACCTCTAAACAAAGAAAATAAAGCAAGTTTTGGCTGATGGGAGGTTTGTATTCAGTACTACTGACGTTTCTAGGAAAGCCTGTCATGCTGGTAAGGAAGAGAATAAAGACTGTTTCCAGGAAGTGGTGTTCTTGTGGATCCAGCTTCTTACACAAGTCCTGCTGCCTCAGGGAGACGCAGCCCATGGTTCTCGTGGGTCACGCTGTGGTCAGCACAGACACCATTAGTCTGACCCCAACACCTGCAATTCCAGTTTTATTGGTGTTGACAATTCTTGTGATCTAATTTCAAGATAGCAAGACACCAATTTTGCTGTCACCACTATGGTGGCAATGGTCCCCAGGTAAAAGAATAGATTCATCACCAAGAGTTCTCCTGTTTCTCTCCTCAGGGTCTTTGACTTGAAACTGTGCCTTAGAGCAAAAGCAACAACATCCATCCCACTCCCCACATGGATATCAACACAAGAAGCAATTTTCACAAATGGCTCCCTGAAGCACTAAATAAGGGCTATGGAAAGATTGAAAAGTGAATGTTTTATTGTTTTCAAGAGAGGAGGGAAGCCACTGTCCATATAGATTCTGGGAAAATGCTCAGAAAACAACACAAACCCAAACAAAAAAGACTGCTATATCATCAATCATTGCTTTCTCTACCCGGTTTTTCTAGATCCTTTTGGAACTACTGGTAAACACCAGATTAGCTGTGAGGCAGCTGCCCACTCAAGATATATGGAGCATTTCCTGGGGGCTGTTCCTTTTATGTGTGATAATAAATATCTGCATGAGTTTTGCCAGTTTCATCTATGTGGTCTCAGCAAATGTGCCTATTCCATGATCCACTGCTGTTTATAACCTAAACTCAGTATCTAAGATGCTCCTTAATCTAGAAAGCAAGCAGCAGTCTTTAGTCAGCTGTCCCTTGGTATCCTCAGGGGATATGTTCCAGGAAGCCCTGTGGATGACAGAATCAGTGATGCTCAAATTCATTATGTAAAATGGCAGAAAGTTTGCATAGAACCTGCACACATCTTTCTGTAGAATTCAGCCATCTTATATGACTTATAATGACTAATAATGCATACCACAAGTACGTTTAGTATAAACACGATTTTCCCCAATTATTTTTTGGTTGCTAAAATCCATGGATGTGACACCTACAGAGATGGAGGGCTGTACTCTATAGAGAAGATACAATACCTAACAACAAAAAAAGTGGCTTATTTTGTTATAATATATCCTTGCACTTTCTACCAACTCAACCTTTACTATGTATTTTATTTTCATTTTTAGAACCATGAGGCCAACATGTAGACCAACTTTCCTCAGCCTCTTAAAAAAATCCGATGACTCCTTTTGCTAAATATAGAAAAATTTCTCCCTATGCTCAAGCCCCCAATCAAACTTGTTACATATAAAAGACTTTTCCTATAGGAAGATGTTTTTTTTTCCTCCTGAGAACTACAGGTAAACATTTCTTCATAATGGTCTTGAGAAGTTATTTTTGTGGATACTTTAAGTGGTAAGATGTTGGAGCGTAGCTCTGTGATTGAGTACTTGGCTAGCATGCCCAAGGCCTTGGGTTCAATCACCAGCACTGGAAAAACAAAAACAATCAAGAGAAATATTCTCAACCTTTGGAAATAAAATCAAAGGGCTTGAGATGTTGGGTGAGGCTGAGGAGGGAGGGGGTTGTGTGACTGCTACTGGGTGGCAAGAGAGTGTACATAAAACAGTCTATGCCAATTCACGTTATCCTTTCAGTTCCACAATCTAGAGAACAAGAGCATCAAAGCAACATAGCCATGGGCTTGGCTATATGAGGCTTCCCAAGTCCTAAAGCATCATGGCTTGTCTAGTCCAATGCCATCTTTGAAGTTCTAGAAACGGTTCTGCTCGGCCAATGGTTTTCACCTCAGGAGAGGTGAACTTCTGGTGGTATTTCTCAGTTGCTAATATCTGACACTGAAATTGATCTTGACCCCAGCCTGAACCCCTTCTTCAGAACAGTCATACAAACTGTAGAGTTCTGAGGCTAATGGCGATGGATGGTGCAACCCCTACTCTGCTCCAAACCCTGCAGCTGGGGCCCAGTCTCCATGGTCATGGCACTTTATCCAATGCTCTAGACTCAAGCTGGGTCCTCTGAATTTGGGGAGTACCCAGTTTGAGGCTCTGCCTGCAGACTTACACCTGTAGTGAAGGATCAAGACCTGTTTGGGCTTTTTCTGCCATAGAATTCTCCTTCCTATCTTTTTTGTAGATTCCAAATGAGTAATTTTACCTAAGTTATAGACTTGCTCAGTATTATCAAGGCTTTGGGCAAGGTTCAAACCCATTCATGTGGTTTCATTCACACAAAAGCAACCTGCTGTTAAAGGACTGCAGAAAAATGTTAAGTTTGCTCTGCCTGCCTTTGGAACCAAACCTGGAGGGTAAGTCTCCTTACCTCAGGAATTGTTCTCCTGCTTGCAATGTGATACTTTTAGAGGAGAAGGTTGGAGTCTGGACTTAGGTTTCCAAGTAGCAGCTGTTCAAGGAAGTATAAGTCAGAGGTGCCATCCACTAACAACACTGCTGGATGAGGTCGTTGGTGAATGACACTGATGCAGAGTGGAAGAAGGGCACCAGGGCCACGTCTACCATGGCTAGGGACTCTGGCTCACGACTTTCAGTTGAAGGGGAGATCACATTTCCCTCATTGTCTGCGATCACCCACAGCTATCCTGTTGCAGGTCCACTCTGCTGCAGCTCCCAGGAGGGAATTGTTCAGAGTAACATTCCGGACCTACAGTGAGCTTTGTTAGTCTCACGGGTGCACGAGACTGTATCCTGAAAAAGTTGTGTTGCCAAATAGGAGGGCTAAATGCTTCATCTATTTTGAATGCATCATCATAAATATAATCTGCACTGTATGGATGCCACGGACACGTGTAACTTATAAGGTGACGAGGGTGACAAGGGTGTAGGCCCAGAACTGTTCATGCTTGACTCATGACTGAGAATTAATAAAAGGGTGACACCATCACAGCTATGGCAGGAACTGTAATACCTATATGAACCCGTTCAAACCGTAACACATGAATCTTGAATCCACTTAACACTGTACACAAAGGAGAATGAGAAATCACTCTAACAGGGTCTGGGCCCTGCCTAAGCTCCCCAGAAGTCAAGGAAGTTATTTAATATGCTTCTTCTAGATGTGTGGAAAGAATGTATTTTCCACGATAAAAGTGTACAAATGATAATCTTTATTATCTGTAACATACTCAAGGAGCAGGGGTTCCTCAAACTGATTAAACACTGAAAACATTAGATCTTCAAGAATATATATTAACTCGGTCTCACCTCTCATTTACCAAGTTAGAATCTACAGGAAGGGAAGTGGTGAGAGATCTGTCTGTTTGATTCTGACGGGCAGCCGGAGCTGGGCCCAGTGCTATTAGCAGTGGTTCCCAGACTCTCCTCAGGGTCCAGGCACCACACTGGGGCCTGTCAGAGGTAAGATTCTGATGCGCAAGGGGTGGGGAGGGGTTCGCTGCCAATCCTCACACCACACTCTGGCTGGGCTGTAAAGTACTCATCTCTGGGTGTAGGTATAAATTATAGGGCGTATCCTGTTCCTCACCACCCTGACCTGCTCTCTACTCCCCATACAAAGGGAGTTTTCAGCTCAAGGTGGGACCTGCTCAGGGGTCTCCACTTCTTCAGGCCTTGCCTCAGCAGGAAGTGAATGTGTATTTCTTAATGGGGTTATTTGGCACAAAAGAAAAAGGGAGACACTTTGGTTTATTGTCAAGGACCAAGAAAAACAAAGTCTGTATATGTTCTCTACAAATGGTGACGAACTACAAGATGGGATAGGAGGGAGAGGAGACACCATAATACATAGCATTATTCTGAGTGACCTCTAGCCCTTCATTCTAACACTTGAACTGAGAAGGCACAGCCATCCTTTCTCACCAAGGCTGTAACAGAATGGAAACGTGACTCAGTTTTCAGCTCCCACAGGGTAGGCAAAGTGAGAGGCTATTTTCAGCCTGCACACAGAATGGATGCTGAAGGTGGTCCATGGCCCCATCGGTGGCTGGTTCCCAGCTCCCTAGGTCCTTGGCTTCTCTTGATTCTCAATGACAAGCTTGTCAGTTGAATAGAGTTGGCCAATCTGAACCTGAAGGCAAAGAAAAAAGCACAGGTCAAGAACCACAGGACTCTCCCAGGTGTGAACCATCAGAAAAAGCCATTTTTTTAACATTTAAGTGCAAATACATTAGCCTCTGCATTAAATGGCAGGGTATTCCCTCCTGGAAAGTGTACTGTGGGGCAAAACGACCTCCAGAAGTGTCTCCTTGCACCATCCACTTCCCACACCCCCTCCGTGTGAGAACTCAGAGACCCACACGGGCATTCTTATTTTCCTGAAAGGGCCCCAGAGCCAGCCTTGGTCTGTCCACCAGGCTCCCTGGTTGCTGTCTGGAGGCTGAGCCATCCACATGTGCGCACAGGTTCCCCACCTGATGGGACTTCCTTCAAGACTGCCTCTTCCACCCAGAAAGGCTTTCAGCATAAAGCTGATGTGCGCCTTTTCTATGCTGGGGTGGAAAAGGTGTTGCATTCTGGGAAATGCAAACACTTAGCTGCTGACCCTAGTGGGCTGAGGGCAGTCTGTGTTCACACATCTCCTGCCGCCTGTCTTTCTTGCCTTCTATTTTAAGTGTCCTTTTCAATTAAGTGTCTCTGTTAGATAAGTGCTCCCACTGTCTCAGATGGATGCCCAGCCATAACCCAGGGCTATGGCCTTTCCTTCCCCCAGAACAAAGGGTCTTTGTCACAATTTTACTTTAAAGGTAGCTCCTGAGAGATGCTTCTTCTTCTTTTTTTTTTTTTAAGGAATAAGTAGAACTGGCGAAGAAAGGAGCATTAAGAAATATGTCTGGAATTCAGAGTAGGGGACCCTCTCTCTGGGCAATCCGGGGCACATACAACTGCTTTTTAAAAATACAGGTGAGAGCTCTCTATATGTGTAATATGAATTGTAATCATTCTGCTATCATATATAACAAATTAGAATAAAAAAAAGTACAAGTGAGAGAAAACTCCCAAAGGCCAGAGCTGCCACCCAGAGTGGCCGGGGGTCAGAATCAAGAATCCTTTGTGCTATTCCCCACAGAAGGGGACTATCAGGAGGTGCTTGGCTGAGTTTACCACCAAGTTTTGAAGTGGCTAGCAGCAGACACAGTCTATGAGACGGCATGTGGAAGAACCCTTTAACAGAGTTGTTCCAAGACAGAATGGAAAAAGAAGACTGGGGATGCAGCTCAGTTGTAGAGTGCCTCCCTAGCATGCACAAAGCCTGTGCTCAATCCCCCACTGGGTTAATAATAATAATAATAATAATAATAATAATAATAATAATAATAATAATAAAGGAAAGGGCTGCCTCAAGAAGCAGTAATTCTGTCCTTGTGAGAAGCATCAAGCAAGGATCGAGAAGGAATTTACATGCCAGACAGGTTTGAACCAGCTGAGCCCCTTCCAGCTCTCAGCTTCTCTGACTAAAGGCACTGTGGTCTCCAGGGTCCATCTCAGGTGCATCTAATAACAGCCATGTGGTCTCTGAATGTCTAGTGATCTACATCTTCTACCTCTGTCACACTGGAACAAAGGGTGGAGCATCAGAAAGACCCCCAGCAAGGCAGTCGGGACAACTGGGCTATAGTGTGGCTTTGCTACTTGTTGGGTGACACTCTGTTCCTTCTTGTCTCATATGAACACTGCAGCATCCTCATCTGTAAATTCAGAGGCCTGAATATTCCCAGGTGATCTTTACAGTCTCTTGCTGCTAAAACAGTCTTTGGATGCTCCAAAAAAACCAAAAACAAAACAACAACAACAAAAAAAAAACCACCAAGATAAAGATGTGAGATTCCTGAGCCATTGTGGTGGACTCTATGGTATAAGGTCCTCAAGCAGCTGGTGGGAATCTGGTCAAGGGACAGTCATTGTACACATGGAGAACATTTAACTGGACTATGTGGCCCAACATATGGCCAGTAGGAGATGTGCCCAAGTTCATGTCTGTCTTCCTCTCTACTGCCCCCCAGTGCTTTGGAAGACCCTCAAAGGCAGCGGCAATGAACCATGCACATCTATGCTGCTGGGCCCTCACAGTCCTGGCAGACAAAGGTGCTCAGCAGACCACTGAAGTGTGCGCAAGAGAAGGAATGTGAGCCCAAGGATAGCAAGTGGCTAAGCAGCAAAGATGGACAGAGAGGCAGGGCTTTTTCTTCCAGTGCTAGGGTGCTCTCCTTCAGCACAACAAACAGGAGTTTGTTGAACAAAAGACCAGCAAGCCCTGGAGGGTAGCCTCAGCCCGTCACTCAGCAGGCCAGCGGCAGGCCAGCAGCGAGTGCCCCCTGCGGCAGGCACTGTGCTGAGGGATGTGTGAAATATGACTCCTGCCTTTAGGATGTGTAGTGATCAGGAGCGGAGGCAGGCAAGAAATGGGGTTCCTGCCCTCAGGTGTGGAGAGTGACAGACGAGGGGTGAATACAGGGCTGGAGGAACAGAGAAGGTGTGAGTCAGCCACAGGGAGTGAGAGGGAAAGGCCCCTCCAAGGGCAGCTGGTGTGGAAGCCTGTGGAGCTCTGAGACTGTCAAAGATAGCAAGGGGCTCTGAGTGTAGATGTGGAGGGTGGAGGGGGGGGGAGGAAAAGAGACTAAAAAGAGAGGTGGGCTAGACATAGATCAGGGATGCCAAACTGTTATGGTTTAGAGATGAGGCACCCCCCACCCCACCCCCCAGCCGAGACTCCTATGTTCTGCAGGACACCTGGAGGTGACTCTCATGATAGAACATGAGAGCCCAGGAAGGCATTTCAGCACGATCCGCTGCCCAGTGCTCCGAGGCTGCTGTAGCTGGGATTCCAGGGCCCCAGCTACTGTGCGAGCGGTGGTGGTGCTTGTTTCTCAGGAACACAGAATCCTGGAGTTAGAGGGTTATGAAGGCTCCCATCAAGAGGAAGACCTGGGAGACGAGGCAAAGCGTGGAAGGAGTGGAACCCTTTCGGGCTGCCCCTGAGAGGGCGCTGCATGAAGCCAAAGTTGGGATGCAGACCGACCCCAGAAATTAAGAGATGCCAGGAACGCGAACTGTCTGTAGAGAAAAGTTCCTGGCTGAGAGTGCAGGCTAATGTGCCCTGAAACTGGCAAGGCCTGAGGAGAGAACATCTCACCGCCGCCACGTGTCTTAGCTGCTGTACCTGGAGCAACAGGACCTGTTCGTCCAGCTGGTTTCAGTCCTGTTTTGGGCTCACCCCTTCTTTCCATGCCCCTTCTCCTCCCTTTTGGAATGGGAACATTTTATATTGGATATCTGTAACTTGCTTTTGATTTTTACTGTGGCTTATAGCCAAGAGTTTGCTTTCTATCTTAGATGAGACTTTGGACTTGGGCATTGGGGCAAATCTGGAACTGTTAAGACTACAGGACTCTTGGAGATGGACTAAATGTATTTTGTGTTGTGAGATGAACATGAGCTTTTGGGAGCCATACGGTTTGGGTATGAGATATCCCCCTAAATGTTAATGCAGGAACAGTCAGAGGTGAAGTGATTACGAGAGCTAGGATCTAATCAGTCCATCCTAGTTTGAATGGGTGGTAACTTAGGTGGGTGTGGCTGGAGGAGGCAGGTCACTGGGGGTGTGCCCCTTCCCCTCTTTTTCAGTTGAATGAACGGAGCAGCAATCCCCACCATGCCCTCTACCATCATGTTCTGTCTCACCTTGGGCCCAGAGCAATGGACTAAACTCCTGGATCAATAAGACAAAATAAATGTTTCCTTCTCTAAATTCTTGTTGGGTATTCTTATCACAACAATGAAAAGTGGACTAACACACAAACCCACCATGAGGGAGATGAGAACCATTAAAATGTGAGAGGAGCCAGGCGTGGTGCCGCACGCCTATAATCCCAGTGGCTCGGAAGGCTGAGGGGAGAGGATCATGAGTTCAAAACAAGCCTCAGCAAAAGCAAGGCACTAAGCACCTCAGTGAGTCCCTGTCTCTAAATAAAATACAAAATGTGGCTCAGTGGTTGAGTGCCCCTGAGTTCAATCCCCGGTACTGGGAGCAGGGGGTGGGGCATGAGAGGAACAACTGACTCCAAAGACCACTTTATCTCAGTGTCCAGGAACAAGAGCAGCAGAGGCCAGAGCCAGGGACCCAGTTCAGAGCCCAGCAAGGAGGAAGGTGAGAGAAGACTGCAGCCTGAACTGAGGAAGGGCAGCGGTGTAGGGGGAGCTAGAGAAATGTGAAGTGCAAAAGGGGGAATCAATCACAGCAAGGGCAAGACCCACAGGTGCAAATGCTCCACGTATTAGTGTCCTCATTTTTGGTGAGGAATGGAGGCCCAGTGAAGTCAGAACCTGGAAGAACAAAGACTTGGACCCCATATCTTCCCATCTCTAACCAGTGCTTTTTCCAAAACGGCACTCCTCTGCCAGTTCCCTAAACAATGCTGACTTCTTCATAACATAAAGTACACATCACCAGACGCTGGGTGCAGTGGCACATGCCTGCAATCCCAGTAGCTCTGGAGACTGAGGCAGGAGGATCACAAGTTCAAAGCCAGCCTCAGCAAAAGCAAAGTGCTAAGCACTCAGTGAGACCCTGTCTATAAATAAAACACAAAATAGGGCTGAGGATGTGGCTCAGAGGTCAAGTGCCCCCGAATTCAATCCCTGGTATCCCACCAAAAAAGTACACATCACTGTAACACAGTGGCAGTCATGGCAAGACCTATAACCCTATATGATTAAAACTGGAGATAACCACAATAGATAATTGTGGACTCCCTTGTACCCACCTCTCCCTTTCCTTATTGGGGTCAATGTGTGAATTTAGAATTCTATAGTGTCTAGCTCTTCTTGTATCAAGAGGGGACAATGAGATGTCAGCTTACATCATGAATGGAAGATATGGTAAACACAAATATCAAAACACTGCCCGCCACTTCTCCTTGGAATCTGAAGCAGTTGGCTGAGATACCAGCAGCCATATAGCACTGTGTTTGATATGGGAGTCACACAATGAGAATGGGGGACAGAAAGGAGGTGCCTGGATTCTTGATGACCATGAACCCACCATGCTAGCTCTGGACACCTAATTGCCAG